CACTTAAGATAATAATCCACCAATAGCAAAAAAAAAACACCTGTCAGAGCAGCTAACAAATGTAACAAAAAACTTAAGAAATAAGTGCAGATCTTTTTTCTCGCAACTTTAAAAGTGTGCTTTATTAACAATTTCTAATCTGTTCCAGGGTACTACCTGCCCCAAAGATTCTCGCAAGGAGAATATTAACGACGGCGCAGCGTGGACTATCATTAGCACCGACAAAGCAGAGTACACATTTTATGAAGGCATGGGTCCTGTCCCAACACCAGTTAGCCCTGTCCCTGTTGTGGAAAGTCTGCAGGTAAACACAGATCAGACTTTGATTGGCACAGAATTCCAACCTGTAGATTTTGTTCATCATCCAGAGTGTGTGTTTTTTAAATTTATTTATTTATTTTTATCCATTTAGTTAAATGGTGGAGGAGATGTTGCCATGTTGGAGGTGACAGGACAGAACTTCACCCCTAACCTCCGAGTATGGTTTGGAGATGTGGAGGCAGAAACCATGTACAGGTAAAAGTGTTCGACAGTGTGTAGCAAAGGCTACGTTCACAAATCTTTTTGCCCACATGCGACCTGGATCTGATTTTATTTTTTTTTTCATGGCAGTCTGAACAACACAGATCCGATTTTTTCCAATCCGACCCAGGCCACTTGGCTATGTGGTCCTGAATCTGATACGCATCTGATCTTTTCAAATGCAACCTGTGTCTGAACGACCAGGTCGCTTTCATCCTACCTGAACACCATTATTAACTGACATAGCTCACTATTCTGCTTCTTGCTACACAGAAGCAGCAAGAAAAACAAACATGTGGCAGACGAAGATGCGGAGAGCAATATTTTTTTTAACAATCTTGAAAAGTTTGAGGTTTTAAGGTTTGGAAAGATCGCTAGATGCGCTCCAGCACTACATCCATGTTTACTTACGTAAACACAAAGCACGCTGGCTTGTGACGTCATTGCGTTCTCTACTGTGCATGCGGGACACTGAAGCTGTATGAATGCAGTTTACACAGGAGATCTCATACAAGTCGCATATATTTGGAAATGTGAACGGCAGCGCAAAAAAATCGTATTTCACAAAAAATTGGAATTGAGCATTTAGGCCTGCAGTGTGAATGTAGCCTTAGTATGTGTGTGGCCAAGTATTTGTTACCTTGTGAGGACAGTTTCCCAGTAATACCCTAATATTAATAGTAATAGTCAAATGTTCCCCATGAAGAAAAGTTGTATTATTGATTGAGTGTTAGGATTAGGTATGAGTTGGTATTTTCAATTCAAAATGTCAGTTAACAAAGCCTTGTTTTGGCTTAGAAAACATGAAAATGTTTACATGTTTTAGTCCCGTTCTTCCGGTTTAATTAGCAAATTAAGGATACATAAATCCTTAATTACACGTGTGCACACCTTTGTTTTCTAATGCAGATTCATTGTGTCTACTCATTCAGGTGTGGGGAAAGCATCCTCTGTGTGGTTCCAGATATCTCTGCCTTCAGGGAAGGTTGGCGCTGGGTTCTGCAGCCAGTTCAGGTTCCCGTCACTCTGGTCCGCAACGACGGGATAATCTATCCCACTGGCCTGACCTTTACCTACACCCCCGAGCCGGGGCCTCGCCCTCACTGCAGTGCCACCGGGATCATTCTTCGATCCAACGGCAATGCTTCCTTATCACCAGCATCTTCCTCTTCACCGTCATCCTCAGTGGGTGGACATGGGGATGGCCACGGAGCGAGCAACAGCAGTGATTCAGGCATATTGGCACTGACGTAGTCAGCAATTGTTTGTGGTTCTGCTCTGAATGACTGTCAGGAAAGGATGTGTAGATTTCCCAAAGAGCTTTTCTTGGAACTGTTAATCTGCACTGAATTCCAGAAGCTCTATATTTTTAGGGCCACTGTGAAAACAAGGAGTACTTAAGAGCTGGAAAAGGACGCGTTCATAGTAAAAGCTCTTAACTGACTTTGGCTTCAGCACCCTCTGGTGGAGAGTTATGGACATGAGCCCCACAGACTGCTATTCCAGATCCTCGTCTAAAAGACAGGGATTGTGCCTTCTAACGCTAACAGCTGGATTTGTTAAAATGTGTTTTTTACTCCTTTGGGTTTCAAAGATGTCTTCCTTCTGCTTTTTACCATTCAAATCTCACTTTTACTGAACAATCTTTTTAACTATTCTTAGAAAAGAAAGATATGTAAAGGTAACATAGTTGTTACAGTCTATAAAGACTTATGTTATTCAGATTCTATTTTATAAACTCTTAAGGTACATTTGACATGTGTTTTTTGTATGATACAATGTTTTTAATTTTGTTACCAAATAATGTGCTGTCTGTTATAATTCCTTCTTCCTGTTTTCTCTCAATGTGTCTGTTTCTTGTATTTCTTTAACCATCTTACTACAACTGAAGTCTCTTTACCGCACTGCTTATTGCATGTTTGCTGTCAATAATAAATATAACAATTTTATCTGGTAAATAATGAGCCTTTTGTGATGTAGTAGACCTGATGCCAGTATAGTGTTGAAGATATTTTCTTAAAATCAGCCCACAGCAGCCAACAGTAGCTTTAACTTTAAAACTGATCATAACTTGTCAGAATTTTAAGTATATTTTCTATAATGCTTCCAGTAAATATGTAGGTATGTTTATAGTTTTGTGTGCTATGTGAAGCAATATACCAGCCTTAAATATCTTGAATTCCACTGAGCGGTGCATTTACATTTCAGGTTAATTGCGAAATGATGCCATCTCTTATTAAAGTTACATGTGGAGTTAAGGTACTAAATTTTAAAATCTAATTTAAAATCTAATTTAACACAAATCTAAAACTTTTTTTTTCTCTTCAGGCAAATGTGTTTAGTTAAGGGGTGTGGTGTTTTGTTTTTTTTTTTTTGTTTTTTTTTTCAGACAGCAGAATTCAATGCAAGTCTTTTGCACCAAGAAGCAGCAACACACATGCAGATAATAACAGCATCCTTGTCACATTTAGGAAGTACTGTAGGTATGATGCTCTATTTCTAAAATGTCACTATTAAGTCTGAGAGAGAAAAGTTCCACCTCTGTTTTGTTTAGGGTATAATGGGGAAAATATGCTCTTTTCTTACATCAGTTGTTTTTTGGAACTCTGATTTTTCCTGGTCTGTTGCTACGAAGGCTATGCTCCTTTGTAAAGGCTTTCTAGAAACCCAAAGTCTTAAGAGACGGCTTTGTAAACCTTTATAGGTGTCATGACTTTATCAGCATAACATTTTGTTTGGTAAATGATCGGTAATAATTTTTAGCTCTTATATATTATTTTATGTTGCCCGACAGATTGAGTTTAACTGGTCTGTTTCCCTGCTTTGGCAGTGATCAGGCTGAATGTGTTGCAGCTGAAATTTAACTTAACTTTCAAAACAACTGGAGTTAATATTTGACACCATTTGTTTACTGTGCTTACTTTTGAAAGTATTAGATTAGATGTAAGTTTTTTTTTTTCTTAAATATCAATTCTTCCTATGAAACTCGGTTTTTATATTAATTTCATATAGCTTTTATATATTTTTAAGAAAAATTTTAGAGGACAGAGAAGGCAGAATAATTAATAAAAAAAAAATAGAAAGCCAGTGGGCATTGAGATACAGTGTTAGAATAAATAATGATGGCTGATTTTTATTTTGACAATCTGTGTGCAGAAGGATCCTGCTCAGGTTTTAATTTTCCACTACATCCAGTGACAACTGAAACAAGTGAACAATGAAATCATTGGTAATGTAGAAGGCAGCTATTCCAAAGTTGCATTTCTTAGTGAAATGATCAAAGTTAATTGTAGTAATTTGTCAGGATGATAACTATATTTTAGGAAAAAGGGGCAAAAAAATTGTCCTAGTAAATTGGTAATGATAAACAACTAATTAAAAATAAAACACTGTAGATTTATAGAAGAAAATGTTTTATGTGAATGTCATCAATGAATGAATTGAAGAGTACAGAAAACCCACAAATGGGCTATGTGCCTTTTTGCTGAGACTGTTTTTTTTTCCACTTCTCTGAGATATTTTACAGGTTTCTCTATTTAATTGGAAAAATATTTTCAATTTTTTTGTGCCAATTTGAAAAGTAAAAATATTTTCTGTATAACAATTTCTGCTGTTTTACCAACAATCTCTTAAAACTGGATTTCAAGAGAGGCATGTTTAGATCATATATCCATGCTTTCTCTTAAAACATAAATTTTACATTATTTTCAGACAAACCTGTGTGCAGCATGTTTGATTATTTGCACTCCTTATAAAACATTTATTCAATCAATTAATTTATGTTTATTGTCAACTACAATTTGCATTGTAATCGACTCGAGAATACAGTTTCAGTACAAACCGTTTATCACATACATGGAGGGGGGGGTTTACTGAGGCCATGCGTGCCAAAGAACGCTCAGTGAAATGGTCACATTTCCTGCTGATTTGTGTCTCATCCATTATTGTGTCCCAGCCATGTTAGGCTAGAATGTTCTGCATGGTTCTGAATACAGCACCGTTCTGGTTTAAAGTATGATAAGTCATGAGATTTAAGCTGAAACAGCCTCACCGTGTCACCAAGCCGGCAGATTTATCCCTCTGGGGTTTATGGAAGAAGAGCCTTCTTCTCGTGTTATGTAGTTTGTGTTCTTTCCCTAAATAGTACCAGAAAACATGGCCTCTGGTTTCTGTGTGGAGCGGTTAGGTTTCCCAGGCAGAGCAATTAAGAGATAAGTTATTCTTTGTGCAAGTTTATGTTTATGCATTTAGCAGACGCTTTTATCCAAAGCAATTTACAAAGTAGACACAATGTTACAGTTTTCATCAATATGACAATAAGAAGAAAGGCTAAAGGTTCAATAAGCTAATTCTTTTCAATGTGCTCATGATTGTTCCTACACAAACTAAAGGATTAGATCAAAATTAGTGTTAATTTACTACAATGCAGATTAGCTGATCACAGAGGCTGATAACTAGCCCAAGACTGAGAACTGTAATCTAAAAGAAAAAAATGCAACACCGTATTATGAAGCTTAGAAATACATAAAAGGGAATTGCAGGTGTTGCATTAACCTTCCCGTGTTAAATGCCTTCTGTGAAAGAAACGGTTGAATCGTTCCCACCCAGAGTCATTTTCTGATATAAAAGCAAAGTACTGTAAACAGCCGAATTTCTACTGTGATTGCTGTTTAGTGGAATTTCACCTCGCCTTTCTGGAAATTGTTTATGTGCAGGATGGATCAGAGGTGTTGCACTTCCTCCAACTTTTTTTCTTGTTTTCTCTGTCAAAGAATATCATCCAGTAAAAACAAAATTTAGGTTAAAAGCTGAATGAAATGGTGCTTGCATTTAACTGCTGTGAGATTTTAGAATAATGAGTAATGCTTTAGTCTTGGGCATTGCAGGAGTAGCAATGAGCTTCAGCCATCATATAAGCTATAATTATATAAATATATACACACAGGTATACAGAAGATGATTTTTTAATATACAGTGATTGCCAGACTTTGGGGACTCTTTATGACTAAAAACAAATTGAGTCCGAAAACGCAGCATTATGCCTATTTATTTCTTTATTCTAGAAGATTTTTAGCAACCTATAAAATCTATCTGAACTCAAGTGCACTAATTTATACACAAAATTCTTGTTAAACACCTCATTGGCCACTCATAACTTGGACATGCTCCACAGGGTAGAGGTCATATTTGCCTGACTATTTTTAAACTGGGACCTAGATTACTGGAGGTAATGTGACACCTGGTAACTGTGTTGTGTTTGTGTGCTTGTGAAGGCTGCTCTTGTCTTTCACTTTTTTTTATTTTTTTTTTAATGAAACATCTTATTTGAAATCGACAAATCACATAAATCTGGGTGATCAGACCGATCAAATTACATTTAAGTGTGATTGGAAATTGCAAGTGACGCATATGAACATCATTAATAGCTCAGTGAACAGCTGTACAAGCGCTTGCTAAGCCTCTAAACATAGGTCGACAGGCTGCAAACAGTACACTGTAAATACTGCTGGGTTATATCTAGAAACCTAAATGATGAGTTAATGCTGTTTGGGAGATTTAATCAAATTGATAAAAAACTGAGAAGAACAACATTTTAATAGAAATGATCAGATTACACAGAACCTTTTGTACAATACGACACAAGAGGATGGAAAAATGATTTACTGTCTAATGATTTTATCAGTTAATTGTGTAAATTTTTTTAGTAAACAAAAGTAGTCACAAGCTATGATAGCTCTGTTCAAACATCAGTGTTGGAATATAGAACAGCAAATAATCAATATATTTTCTATTATTCTTATGTGTTTTAACATTTACCATAGGTATCATTTTAAGCATTTCTGATTTTAATCCATAGATGAACTGATATTATCCATTGAAATTCTTTAGTTGGATTCCATTACTGCGTCATAGTCCAACCATGTTATAAGGCCAGGTTTAGTCTGTGCATAAAACAAGGGAAAGAATTTGAAATTTGAATGAAATTCATTCTTTGGACATTTCATGAAAACACTCTTCAAGAATGAAGAATGATACGCAAATGATAACTTTATCGCTGTATTTTCTTCTAAGGAAATGTCTGAACACCTCTGCCTTTCCAAATGGAAAACAGCCTCAAACAGCCTTTGTGTTAATCCAGTTATTAATTGTTAAGAAACATGTTATATATATATAAATAAAAATTAGGCTGCAGACCTACCTCATAGGTCAAAACAAACCCTGCTGAGCTAAATAAACACAACTTTAGACTGGTCCATATTTGACCCAGACACAGGTGTAATTTTCTTAAGGACTGGTGTGGACATGTCCCCACCAATGATTTCAATAGACTTTGGCACACAGCAATATGTGGGACATATTTCTAAATTAGATTTTGCTGCTTTTGAAGGAGGATAATCACTGATGTACCTAAAAGGGAAAACATCCAATCAATAAAAACCCAATTTTTCTGGATGAATTGATGGATGAATGAATGAAACTGTGTACATACTAGGGAGGCATGATACATTGCTGTTGGCATCAGAATCTGTTATTCCTCTTTTTTTTATATAAATTAATGTCGCACTACCCATAAATATAAATATCAATGTATTTGAGTTCTTTTGTGTTCTCAACAATAGGAAAGCATTCAATAAATATATGGTTTGGAAAATACAAACCCCATTGAAAGCGTTTGTTTCGAGTAACTGTAGGTCCATCAGCCACCACTCTTAGACTGACCCCACTAACTTTCATCACAAAGTTACACCCTTGGACCCAGAACTGGATTAAATAACCAAAATCGGGTAGTTCTTTTATATGTTTACTTAGCAGGTTTTACAGTTTACATCACTTAGTTGCAGGCCCAGACAGACTATTTCTGGCATGACAGAGCTATTTTGGATATATACTTCCTAGACTGGGGTGTTAAAGGGTCTGATTAATCCTACCATTATTGCAGTAAGATGATCAATAATAGATAACCACACATTATGGATGGCAATTAGGATTGGATATTTATCCCAGGACGCTCTGTTGCTGACTGCCAACTCCCTGGAACAACGTCACTGACAGGGTGGTAAGGAAGATTACAGCTTGAACTGGACCCCATTAGTTATAGGACACTGAAACCCAATACAGACTGGACAGGAATCTCAGAGAACATTGCAGCGTCCTTCAGCTCAACTCATTTTATTTAAATGAGGCGTTTTTTATTTTATTTTATTTTTTAAAATGTTTTTAGTGTTTTTTTTTAATCCTGGGTTTCTTGAGATGGATTACTTGTCAGGGATGTCTATTCTGAAAGAAAGCAGAATTTTATGAACATCATTTACTTTTTGTTTTGTTTTTTTCGCATAACCTTCCTTTTACTTTTAACATTGTATGTTATCTTTGTTCAAACCTTCCCATCTATTTTGGATAAGAATTATCCAGCTTGGCTTATTTCTCAAGTGTGCATCAGTATCACATCTCTCCTCTGGCTCTGCACCCGTAATAGAAACACGGATCGCTTTCGCAGACTTGACACTGTTGACTGCTGGGCGCTCGTTTCTCCTGCGTTATTGCGCCAACCTTTTGCATAACTTTCTGAACTTTCCACGATAATCTAAAAAAAAAAAAAAAAAGAGAGAGGGAAGAACGGGCTGAAATGCTCGCCGTCTCCATGGCTTTTCTTATTTTCCCCGCTGCGCTCCTCGTAGCCGCGCAAAGCGTCGGGGAGCTCCAAGGCCTCCACTCCCACGGAGGAAGCGCAGACTTCGAGCAACCAGGTAAGAAGAAGATGTTACTATTGAAGACAATGAAACATTATAACTGACATTGTTGGAGGTTTAGGCAAGGATGGCTATTTATCGATCCACTCAGCCATCTCTTCATAATAAAGGTAGGTCTATACACTAACATAACTTGGATGAAGTAGAATAGAATAAAATAGAGTAGAATATAATAGAATAGAGTAGAATAAAATAGAATAGACTTTAACAGAGTAGAATAGAATAGAGTAGAATAGAAGATAATAGAATAGAGTAAAATAGAATAGAATAGAGTAGAATAGAATATAATAGCATAGAGTAGAATGAAATAAAATAGAGTATAGAATTGGGGAGTTTTTCCTCTCCACTGTTGCTACAAGCATGCTTAGTGTGAGGGATTGCATTCGAATCAATTAGTTGACAGCTGGTTTTCCTTAGATAGAAAACTTTGAATTAATTTGACTGGATGATCTGGTTGAACTGTAAAGTGCCTTGAGATGACATGTGTTGTGAATTGGCAATATAGAAATAAACTGAATTGAATAGAACAGAATGGTGGTAAATAAAAACACAATATATAAAAAAGATTTTAAGAATGAAAAAAAAACTCCATATCATTAATAACTGGAAACAACTGTAAAATAAATATCCACATCATAAAAATGGCATGTTTAAAAAGGGCTTGGGCCCACTCTAATAATGTAATAACCGAATGATTTTGATAGCTATGAGGACTTGAATATTAAAAACATCAACTTGATGTCAAAAACATCTGAACCACAAAAGTTCATGATAACGGCAATATTTTAATTCCTTGATAAAATCATCTTCATAAACGTTGTATATTGTCACAGAGCTCCATTCATCAGTCTAAGAAAACAAGTTTCATGGATGCAAAGCACAGTGCCAATGAATATACTCCCTCACAGAGTGGCGACTAACGAACAATAACAAACAAAAAAAGAATTTGGTGGAAAACCTAAAAAGGCGGAAAAAAAATATTTGAATTGTCCATTGAAACAATTTACAATACAGTGGTTGCGCCACATCATCCTTTACAAGAATTAATTTCAGCCAGGTTAAAACATTTATCCATTTTCATAGTCCACAAGTCATTTATTCTCAGTCTTAATTAAGGCTAGGTAAAAAAATATTTATGTAATACCTTTATTCACAATTAAAAATAAGGATTATCAACTAAATGACCGTAAAGTTATTCTCTCCTGTCTGTTATCTTGCATATATTTAAATTTATCTTGACTTAATAAGAAAGAAATTGGCTCGATCACACGTATCATTGATGGAAGATAACTTTTTTTTTTTTTTTTAGAACATTTATAAATTTTAACTTTATTTTTCTATTTTAACCCTCTTACTGCCACTGAGGCAGCACAAACCAGATATGGCTGTAGTTTTTTCTCCCTTCAAACTCTAAGTATTCAGTAGAAAACCCAGTCATCCTGAATACCTGCCAAATATTTTAAAATATGAAGTTGGGTTGGACAAAAGGACTTATTTCCATTTTTCTAAAAAAACATAAAGTTCAGGTTATTAGGTAATGTATATACATATATAATGACCACGAAAACTGAACTAAAGAAACAAAGAAACCAAAAAAAAAATTACCAATAACTCCAAAATCGATCTGTCTTTGCTTTATTTTCATACACATTTGGAGGCACTTAGTATATTATACTGTGGCTCTTCTCTGTGAAATGTTTCTTATAGAAACTGTTTAAACTGTTTGTTCAGCATCAAAAAGACTGCAGTTAAAGTGAGCAGTATTGAGTTGAGTTCAGTTCAAAGCTTTGAATGTGAGCTTTTACTCATAAACACAACACTGTAATAATTTGAACCTAATTCCGCCTTAATATTAGGGCCCCTAGCCTTAGAGCATGCAAAGTGTCACTAAGTTAGGCCAAAATGCTCAACTCATAGCTTTGTCTGGAAGAGAAGCAGGACTAAGCCTTTAAACACAGGCCCAACTCTATCATCTATAAATGAAAGTGTTGATGGTAGCAGCCCACCTGATTTTTACCCCTAGAAATGGTGCCAAAGCCAAACAGGACCCGATAAAGCTAATATGATGAGAAAAAGTAGAGAGGACACAATGTAAGGGGGTCAACTAACACATACTGCAGAAAGGTAGAATAGAGCTAGATTGAAGCAAAACTATGAAAGTAGTCCCCATGTCCTCCAGCAGTCTAAGCCTACAACAGCATAACTACAGAGATAGCCCATGATAACCTGAACCACTCTAACAACAAGCTTTACCAAAAAGGGAGGTTTCAAGCCTAGTCATAAAAGTATAGGTTACTTGGTATTCTATTTTGTATACTCGGCACACTTTAAAATAAAATCTAGTTGTTAAAAAGAAAATGATGTTGGAAATAAATCATTTTAAACATTATTTTTGACAAACTGATTTTAACCTATTTTGCATGAACCATATTCAATACAGACGCAGAAATGTTATATAAAGTTTATGCCTGTTTTCAAGTTTATCAGATTGTATGGTGACTGATATGTAGTAATAAGTAAACTTACTATTTACCTGTTGAATGATAATAGCATGAAACAGAGATGATTTGTCCCCTGCTATTTTTCAATATAAGTCATCGTGTTAAAAAAAAAATAAAAAAAAATGGCAACAGGTAAAAAAATAGCTGCTAGGAACTAGCATTTTTTTTCCAAGTAGCTTTTTTTAATGAATTTTAAAAAACTGTGATGAACAAAGCTGGGCAAGTCTGTGTTCTCAAGGAAAAGAAACACATGACAGATAATGGGATTATTTTCTAATTTTAGGAAATCTTTACCAGAATTAAAAACAAATGAGGTGGATAGTTAACAAGAGCAGCCCTTAACGATGTCACATCTGTTAAATGGGGTAAAGTTCAGTAATAAAATTTTAAATACCGGTAATATTCCCTTATTTTTCAGATACAACTTTTTAACATAAATTTAACTGGTTTTGCTTAATACATTCTTATTGGAAATGAAACGTGCTGCATAACTGCTCATACCAATATGTATTTTAAAGCATTCTGAAGGTGAACATATAGCGTAGAGAGACAGTTCCAAGAGGTTTGTTGGGGCCAGCAGATGGTGGACTTCGCTGACAGACCTTAGATTTTCCACCCCGAGGTTCTGTGACAGAAGAATGTGTCACAGAAACAAAGCTCTGAATCAGTAGAATGATGGATATGCATCAGGAAAATGTGTGTCATGGACCCCATATGTTTCCATCTAAAACTGACCTGGAACAAGCTGTACAATTTAAAGCTTAATTACACCAGATTAATAAGCCATACAACTCAGAGGGGAATTATCACAATGCGCTCAAGTACACCTCACATTTTTCTAACATCTGTCTTTTATTCATAGTGGTTTTATCTGTAAATGTAAGCTATTTTGTCCTTGGTTTTAGTACAAATGTTGTAAGGTTAATCACAGAAGCAGCCTTCCTTATTTTGGAAGACGTGCGTTAGCATAAAAAAACATTAGGTTTTACATATAAGATAGCAAAATTTTGAATTTTGAATTCTCTATTAACCGACTGTCTGTAAACTGATTGTATTGATTATAGAGTTTGAGATAGAGATTGAGATAGATTTTACTGTTTCAAATAGCACCAACTGTGTTTTTTTTAAACAGTTGCTTTTTTTCTGTCAGAAAAAAAAACCCTTAAAAGAAAAGAATACAAAGTTGAGGCAGGGCTTGAGCTGGTTCAGTGCAAAGATAAAACTAATCTTGATAATAATAACTTCAAGTTCCAGTAGTGAAATTATATTTTCTAAAACAAAGCACTAAGTATGATAAAATAACAGTTAAAAAAACTGTTGACTTATGTGGATACCATGCCCATAGTGAAACATGTTGGTATCATCATGCTCTGGGTGATGCTATTCCTTTAGGGAATCAGGGAACATAGTGAGAGCTGACTTGAATATAGATACAACTAAGTAGAGGACAATTCTAGAACAGCACCTCCTAAAGCTTATGAAGTACCTGAGATAGATTATACATTTGCAGGTTCATAAATATTCTCTATTTGATCTGACTGAGCTTAAGTTATTGTGCAAAATGAGACAGCATGATGTAAAGTATACATTTGCTAAATTTGGAACAGGTTGCAAAAAACAAAATTCCTTCTTTTCTGCATTAAATAAAGAAAAATGGCAAGCTGCTGTCAATATGTTCTCTTACATCCATGTTTGGAGGGAACTGTTCACTGAAATGATGGGATTAATTAACAATAATATTAAAAATAATAAGTCTTTTTATATTTATTTAGACCCATGCCTGACTATATATCCACCATGTTTGAGTGAGGCTGATCGTTACAGCCTGGAGGCTCTGCGTAGCATCCACCAGATGATGGATGATGACCAAGATGGTGGGATCGAAGTGGAGGAGAGCATGGAGGTAAACACTGAGCTTTTTACAATATATTTAATCTTTGTTTATGTTTGTTTAAATTCTCTTTTTTCATAAGCCCTTGCATGTAAGAAAGCAGTAGTGTGAATCAGTACAACAACAGGTGTTGGCTGGAGGAGTCAAGTCCTCCTTCAAGGATAGCAACAGTCAACTTTTCTTTTGGCACAGTGACAAAATCGGTTTGCACTAATAGAATACTCCATTTCACTGACCTTTATCAGCAAATTGTAAAGAGTATAACTGTGCAGTTCATAAGCGTAGGTCATACTCCCGGTGGATAAATGCACCGTGAGTAAAAGCAAAGGGCTCTTCTTTCCCATTCCTTGTTGAAAAAACAATGAAACCTTGGTTTGTGCTTTTCATCATATCAGTTATTCCAAGAGGAGAAAAAAAGTAGTATTACATGTGTCATTAATGAAACTGCATTAATGTATAATCACTGAAAGATTGCTGAGATTTATGAGCTGTTGTTAAAAGGAAAGCCTACGTGTTTCATAAGGACAATACATTCCATATGTGCATTGACCCCCTGTACTGTAATAAGCATTTTAAATATCCAATAAATAGTAAAATATCTGAGAGTCTTTTTCTTTAGTGGTAAACCATGGACTTCTAAAATAATACAGTTGCCTGCCAGAGTGTAGTTTTTGGATACATAATCCCAGGGCTCAGGTTGCAGTTGGTATGGGGACATCAGTAGACAAGACACCGCCTGAAGTCCCAAAATTCTGTTAGCCGACATATAAAGAATGGATTTATGGTCAGAAACACATTCCAGCTGGTATGTGTGCTTCAACACACATACCAGCTGTAAACTTTTGCAACACACATTGATGCTTGTCAAGCTACAATATCTGGAAAAAACTGTTCAAAAGACTTCCTTAGACTAAAACCTGAGCACATGTGAAATTTCTTTATATACTGTTTTTTAGTTTATCAGATAATTCCCAATTTGCCTTAAAGATGCCTTTGCTTTTATTACTAAAAGTCTTTTTCAGCCATCTTCTTTCTGTTCTTACAGTTTATCATTGAAGACATGAAGCAGCAGCAGACCCACAAACATAGCAACCTGCACAGAGAAGACCAGCACATTACAGTGGAGGAACTCTGGAGGGGCTGGAAGTCATCTGAAGGTGTGGTAACATTGCATGTAAATACATCCGAAAGCTTCAAACATGTCTTTTAATTAACTCCTATCACTGATTTGGCAGTGCACAACTGGACACTAGATGATGTTCTGCGCTGGCTGAAAGACTTTGTCGAGCTGCCGCAGTATGAACGAAATTTTAAGGATTTTAAGGTTAACGGCAACACCCTTCCCAGGTAAGAAGAATAATGAATTACTTTGTGGTGAAACAAATGTGACTTTGTTTAAGATGAAACTGTCAGTAGTATAAAATCTTTGTGTTTCTTTGACAGACAAGGATAGTTAGCAAGCGTCTTAGGAGGAAATGTCACCAATGAAAACATATCAGTTTATGTCACGTTTTCATTTTTTGGAAGAAAAAAAAAACTAAACATGCCCAATGCACCATACACCTGTTTGTTTTGTGTTTTTGATAAGTGTTGAGCAGCTTTTGATCAGCTGATTGATCAAACTTAGAATAGGTTTTCTTAGACATTTGACACAATTCAAGAAACAGGAACCTTTACTCATAAAGAAAATACAATTTTTTTGTTTTGCTCTTTACCATAATTTAGTCTGACCTGAATAATATTTGTAGGATTGCAGCAAATGAGCCTTCGTTCCTGAGTACCCAGTTAAAGGTTCTGGACCAGAGAGACAAACAGAAGCTCAACATCAAAGCTTTGGATGTTGTGCTGTTTGGACCACCTACACGTATGAAATATTCCTTACTCTTCCTACAGTTACCATTTGGGGTGTACATTTGGTTTGGATTTTCATTAAAAAACTATTATCTATACCCTTTGGTGATGAATCAAATATTTTTATAATAAAATTCAGAACTTACTATCATTGTTTTCTATTCTATCATAGGCCCCCCTCATAACTATATGAAGGACCTGCTGCTGATTGTGTCAGTGGTGATGGGAATAGGCGGCTGCTGGTTTGCTCAGGCCCAAAATAAAGCCAGCAAGTTTCACGTCGCCAAAATGATGAAAGATTTAGAAAGTCTTCAGAGGGCAGAACAGAGCCTCATGGACCTACAGGAACAGTAACTATTTAATGTTATTCTTTCCTAAGTTACTTATAGTCTTATATTTTAATAATTTTGATCGTGTTAATCGAGGTAAAACCTTTGCTTTCTTCAGACTGGAGAGGGCTCAGGAAGAAAAACGAAATGTGGCGGTGGAAAAACAATACCTGGAGGAGAAGATGAGAGATGAGATTATTGGAGCTCAGGAAGAAGCTCATCGTCTTCATGAACTGAGACAGGGAGCCGTTAGTGAGCTCAGCCGCCTACGGTATGCAGAGGAAGAGCTGGAACAGGTAGATACATCACAAACAGGAGGAGAAACGTCATCTGCACTTTTTGAAAGTTGAATATTGCATGCTTTGTAGAAGTTAAAGGAAAAACAAGGTGCAGTTAAAGATTAAATTATGCATGGCATCCTGAACCTGCTAATCACAATACTACTATTAAGGAGCTCGGTTCAATAATCACTAAAGATGTCAAACAGAAGTAGTTTAATTAAGGCTGGGTGAGCTGACAAGCATGTGTGCAGATAAGGATAAATTGTAAATTAACAGAAATCTTTTTCTTTCTTTTTTTTCTGATACACTTCAACACAGTGTAATTACTGTATAAAATAATCTCAACTGTCAAACTGCCAAATTATTTGCTTCTGTCTATATGCTGCCGTTTGTTAATTTCTTATTGGCTGTAGTTATTTTTATTTTATTCCACCTAACCTGCTTCTACTGATGAACTAAAGACATTGCTTTTTTTAGCTTGAATACTTTTTGCATCAATCACCAACACCTGGCTGTTTCCCTAGAATGATATGTGCTAGTTTTCTCCACCTTTTAGCCTAACTATAAAAAGAACTGTTCCATCAATGGAGGTTTCAAATAACGACCGACCAACAATTAAAATGTGGTTGTTTTTAGCTTTCTTAATTTAGGAAGAATAACATTTGTTGCACAATTTTACCAGCAGATTACGAATCTAGTATTAACCAGTAAAGTGAGACCCAGAGCAGCTGTGGCTACAATGTAGCTCACCACCATCAATGTTTGAGTGTTTGTGTGAATGGGTGAATGACTTAATGTAGTGTAAAGCACTTTGGTCAAGTGTCCTGACTTGAAAAAATATTATTTATCAGTATCGGCCATTTACCATTTGACCCTTTAACACATTAGTTACAGCATTGTTTACACATAACATATCTTTGAAGAAACAACCAGGTGAAAACTGGAGGCAATTTAGATAGATAATATTTGAGCAGTTGAAGAATTGACTGGAATACAAATTTTAAAAGGAGCAATGATGTGGCACTGAGGGTGTTCTGTTTATGGAAAATAAAGAAGTTCTTTGCTAAGAACTAAAGAACCAACTCAAGCACAAACCCTTGTCCAGCAATGGAACTGATTTGGTGCTATACTTCTCTCAACCACAAAACTGGTACTTAAATTGGAAGGCATCAAAAGTCTGCTTGCCTTCTGTTTTGTAGTTGTCATGACCCGGATGACTGAGAATTTACACAGGCATGTTCTCTCTCAAGCTTAAAATGCTCCTGTCTTCTATTTCCTTCAGTCAGTTAAAAATAACCTTGGTAGTCATCCTGCTGTTTTCACCTAGCGGCATAAATATCAGCATAAAAAGAAAATACATTTTTAAGTCATTTCATTTTTATTTTGTTGCTTAATACATGCTCATCTTCAGTAGAGCAGCTGTCTCAGCCACGCCATAGAATATTTATAACATTCTTTTTTTAGTGCGGATGGCAGTAACTTTAAATGCAAAACTGTATAACAGTGTCCATCAATGCAATTACCAGTGATTTCTTCAGTTTCGCTCTCTTAAAAAGAAAGCTGAATGCATTGATATATACAGAATGAAGCACTACAGCAATTTATATATATGTGTAGTTTGCTGAAGTGTGACTAAGTACAGAATAGAAACCTGTCACCCAATATGTTGTTGATTAATCCCTATGATGAAGTGGTTAAAGTCTTGGTGATTGGGTTGCATCAGGAAAGGCATACCAAGTCTGTGAGCAAGTGGTGATGACTTTTTGAGGCGAACCCTGCAGCCAGTGTGACAAAAACAACCCAATATTTTGTTGAACCTTGATTGCTTATACATATCTTTAAGGGGAGTTCTTAGTGAGAAAGAACCCGACAAAAATTTGTTTTTGTCTTTTAAATGGTGTAAGAACTTAATATACCTTTTCTGGACAAAAGTCATGATATTTATGCTTTCCCTATGGCAACATTTGACAGAACTTTTGTCAGGGAGATTCCCTCATGATTTGATGCTAAGTCCCATATTCAACATAATATTGGCAAAATAGGATTTTTATTTTTTCCTTTGAGCACTGATGAGTTTTTTGTTTTTTTTTAACAGACAGAAAATGATTTTTCTCCAGATCTGCTTGATACACAATTTAGAAGTTGTCTACCACTCATCAAATACACTGATGTAGGATGCAGGAGTTTACCCTGCAACCAGAGGGTCGTTAATTTGACCCTCAGCACTTTCCGTTTAGGTTGTTATGTCCATGGATGAGACACTTCACCCACGTTGCCTACTGATGGTACACAGATGGCCTGGTGGTGCCTGTTTAGGGAAGCCTCTATTTTTTGCCTGTGTAGGAAGGGCAGCTTTACCTGCAATGTACTTTTCCATTTACATATTAGGGTAGAGTTGGCTCCAAAATTATAAAGTCTTAATAAGCTGCAAAAAAAATAAAAAATGCAGTTCAAAAATCACTAGCATGGAACAAATTTCTTTTAGAATGGATTTTTGATCACATTCTGATTTCAAACATTCTTTTAGGTTCGTGGAGCACTAAAGCAGGCTGAGAAGGAGATGATAGCCAGCTGGACTGTCTCAGGCGCCCTTCAGCAATGGCTTCAGCTTACACATGAGGTGGAGGTTAAGTACTACAATGTTAAAAAGCACAGCGCAGAGCTACAATTAGCAGCTGCCAAGGAAGAGGTAAGGCATAAAAAAAATGCATGTATGTTGAGTAAAATACTTAAGAATAAATACATTGTTTAATTAATAACTGATTACTTAACAACCAAACACAAATTTGCAAACTGTACCAGCACAGAGTTCCGTCACTTTCCTTGAACCTATCTTTTCCGCAGGCAGAGAGAATCAAGAGGAAGAGGAATTCTGTTCTGGGCACTTTCCAAATGGCCCACAGCTCTTCTCTTGACCACGTTGATCACAAGATCATGGAAGCAAAGTAAGGCAGACAGCTACATGAACAGCCTCTGCTTTTGAGTGTCAAAAATAATTTAAAAAATGTACTTTTGATAACCAAATACTTTGCACTCCCCACAGGCAGGCATTGTCTGAAGTAACAGCTTGCCTGCGAGAGCGCCTTCACCGCTGGCAGCAGATTGAGCTCCTCTGTGGTTTTCCCATTATGAGAAATCCTGGACTAACAAACCTCACAGCTCAACTCTACTCCGACACAACCGCAGTGGGGTTCCCGCGAGTATCACAGTCTTCCTGTTCATGTCACAGCTCTGTTCACGGCTCAATAGAAGATCTTTTAGATGAGCCTGCTGCTTCTATTATACCCCAGATGCCTGGTAAGTTACAACACTGATCACTAAACATTTGGACTTACTACAGTGAAATCTTTCTGATAGTATGAGTCGCCTCCTAATCCTTTTTTAATGACACCCGTTAACACTATTAATCAGTAACTCTGTGTATTCAGGGATCTAGACTTTGTGAAACTGCCAAACTGAAAATCAAACCCACAATTGAAATGGAGAAGAAAGGGAATTTAAAACACTTTGATTGTTGCATAGTATAATGTTTTTTTTTTTAGATAAGTTAAAAGATAAGTGAATTCTTATCATTTTCAACTCTAAGGAGACTAAAACAGTTGCTACCTGTGTAATAATATCTGAGTAAGTGGAAGATATGAACTGCATTAGTTGCATTTGGCCTCTTTCCCACAGTTCAAATTCCACCTATTAAGCGCTCTCCTCGTCTTCGCGGATCCACCATCTGTAGGGCACGTCGTCCTGGAGTTATCCCTCCACAACAGCCTTCCATGATTTCCTCAGATCCTGACCTCCTGATCCCTATCAGATCCCCTTACTCTTCCTATGATGAAGGAGATGAGCTTCACCATAAAACCCTTAAAAAACAGTAAGTCTCTATGCAACACAGTCTATAAACATTTTTGGGGTTTACCTTAAACATTACCCACAATATATATATATATATATATTTTTTTTTTTTTTTTTTGAGTGGCACTTTCCTTAAATCCGTTCTTTGCTTTCTCTTTTTTTCTTTCTGTCGTCAATAGAGATTCACAAGAGAAATTCTTAGACGCAGAGCTTATAACATCCTCAACTCACAGCAAAATGCTTTCTAGTCCTACGTCTCTTGATGCCTCATCTAGAAGATTCTATCATGATGAAGCTGAGCTCCTAGCAGACAGCCAAATGACTAAGCCTCTGTGTGAACAAGTAGAAGCTCTTTCTGAAATTTCACTTCCCAAAATGTCTGAGGGAGAGCTTGATACTCCTGTAGATGTGAATGTTCCTTGCAAGAAGATGACAAAAGACAAAACCGGTGGTTCTACTTTGGAAACCGCTTCTTGTAAGATCTCTAACCAGGACTCTCATGGAAATACTGCACCTAAGAAGATATCCAGACAGAAGAGTTTAGTTTCAATGGGTGCCGCATTAAAGCAGGGCATTTCTCATGATTTAGATGTAGAGATCTCACCTATAAAAACCGAGAAAGGTACTGCTGAGGATTTGATGGAGGTTCCTTTCAGGAGTCTTTACAAGGAAAGACATGACTTAGAGCCACTGGAGATGAAAAAGATTCTCCGGCCAGAGTTAGAAGCATCATCAGAAACACATAGGATAATGTCAAGGGATGTAGTTGAGACTTCCATAAATAGAAAGAAAATTAGAGAAGATGCTGAACGCCTGTTTGAATCTAGAAGAATTACAAGGAATTCAATGGGAATGTCCTTAGACACAGCCTCTAGGAAGCTTCCGTTGAATACAGGAGACCATCACTATGAACCGTCTCCAATGGCTGTACCAAAGGATAAAGTAGCTGAGACAGCTATAAAACCACAGAGGAAGATTTCTCGAGATGAACTGGAATATTTTTCAGACCCCAGAGAGACTATAGATGCCTTTAGGGATCCACAAGAGTTTAGTCTAGAGTCTTCAAAAGGCCAAGGAATAAAGAGAGATGAAGCTGAGATGTCTGCTGGTTCCTTAAGAAGGAGAATAGCTGGAATACCAAGAAGTGATACCAGTTCAACAGATGCCTTCACTGAAAACATCTCCTGGGATCGAGTTAATACTCCAGCTGATATGCATAAGCATCTAACCCTGAGGGAGGACTTTGGAGGATATGAATCAAGCTCTTTACCATGTCGTATTGGACAGCCAGATCTCATGCTAACATCCCAAGGTCCATGGCAGTCCTCCTCAGACCTCTATACTGCTGGTCCTCTGAGCCAACTTGTGTACGATGGAATCCTTGAGAAATCATGCAGCTCCATGGCCTCTCTGCATACATCTCTCTCAGCCTCTACTCCAAATCTTCCACAAGGCAGGCTGCCAGCTGACTTGGAGTCACCGCTTCCTCCTCCAAAAGCAGTTCACCCATCTCTTTTATCACTCCCTGATAGCGGAGATGAAAAGAACAAAGATAAGGATAAAAACAAGAAAACTCTAAAGCTGAAAAACCTTTTTAAAAAGAAAAATGAGTCAAACCCAGAAAAGTCTCACAGCGGTCTTCAGAAACTCTGACAACCTACAGTCTTTTTCCCCTAGCCTGAGGTTTATTTTCAGATATTAAAGCTTCGGCGTATGTTTGAGTTGATTTTCTGCCTAAGTAAGGTTATAAAATCCAGGGGGAAAAAAGTATTTTCTTTTGTACTATTAGATAGCCAACAATTGGTCCAGCTAAGGAACTACACAACCAACAGTACAGCAGCAGCAAACCAGTGAATTTCCATGTGGAACATCAGCACCAATCACAGATTCAACAAGGTTTTGTACTATTCTAGAAAAAAAAGTTACCTTTAATGTCACCTTCACATGACTGATTTCCTTTAGTTAAAAGCTCATCACATCCCGGAATTCAGGGACTTTGAGAATGGTTTAATCGTATTTGCAAATATGATGATTTTTGTTTAGAATTTTTAGGCTATTTTTTATTTCAAAGGAGTATACCACTGCATTGAAATGCTAGAAAAAAAAAAACAGAGTGGCTGCTGAAATTTTAATTTTGAAATTTATATTTGACATCAGTTTTATTCGCTTAACAAGTCTTACAGGCACATGATTACTAAAGGGCTCTAGATGTGTGACTTTTAAATGCTTTTGCTAATGTTTAAGTAATATATGACGCTTCTGCTTCTCTGTAAAACAGAGTAAATGTTTGAATTCAAAACAAATTTTAAATTATTTATTAAAGTGAATAGAAATTGTAATGATGCATTTGTTTAAAATGAGCAGTTTATATTGTGAATAACGCTATTTTAACCAAAGCAGTGAAGTTTTTAATGCAAAGAAAAAAAACTAATTCAAGTATTCAGTTTTAACTTGAATAGACACTAAGCACTTAGAATGAATGCGTTCTGAATTACAAAATCAACAGGAACATGCACTCAAAGTGGAATTTTGACTTTTCAAGTGAGGTGTTTTATCATGCATCTCACTGGGAATCCAATAAGTCTGACTTGCATATTAAAGGGGGCAGAACTGTAGTAATAAAATGCTTTTTTTTGTATTTCTCTAAATCAATGGCCCATATGGTAGTGTGCAGTGCTTATCTGTGAACATGTTTCTCTAGAACTAAAATACATATGATGTATATAAACCCTTTGGTTGGCTTATATTGCCAGTAACTGTAAGCGGTCAGTGAGCAAATGAGTTACAGATCCTACAGACTTTCCAACTTAAAGTCTTTCAGGGGAGTACGACATCATTCCTTATTCTGGTCTGAATCTTTCTACCACAAACTTATCTTATATCCAAAATGGCTGCTACATTTAAAATCCCGAGAAAACTACAGTAGTAGAAACTTATTTTTTTATGTCTGGAAGGGAGACTTCTAATAAATCTGTAGCACAAATAGAAATGCACAATGTTTCTACCATGCTTGAATACATAAAACTCAAAAGATTAAGTGGAAAAGTTACAGAAACTGAGTCCCAATTTGTCAAACATGTAGCATTTTATTCTTTTATTCTTTATTTACACAGTGTAGTCTCTTGAGACTCAATGTCTCATTTACAAGAAAGACCTTTTCAAACACATAAAGTTACAACTGTTTTCAACAGCAATTGCAGTTTTTCCAAAAAATCAAAATGGTCTTCTCTCTTTTTAAGGCAACTTTATTTAAAGGTTTCTAATAGTATTTTATCTGAAACAAACAAACAAACAAAAAATTATATATCTCTTTATTTTTTTATGTGGTTGAAGGTTTTCCTCTAACCAAGTTTAATGTGAGAAATATTTACCGGTATATAAAATATGCTATTTGAAATTTTCCATTCAGATGTGATATCTCATCTAAACCACAATATGTTACAGGAATAATAGGAAAAAATGGTTTTCTATAGAGAAACTAGCACTGACATCTATAACATTAAAAGAAGGCAATACTTGATGATAAAAATTTTACCTTAATCTGTTTGAAAACAAAGTCTGCAACTTTAAGGTCACTCATTGTTTGAGGGGTTCTTGTTCACTTTCATTTTGTGGGTGGGTAGACTTTACTCTGTTAAAAAAAAGTTTGATTATAATAGAAATAGACATATCACTTAGAATAAACAAGAGGAATGATTTAGCAATTGAGATTTGATCAACTTGGGTCAAAATCTCTTCAACGAATATCTTGTTTTACCTGTTGTCTCCACTAGAGGGCAGTCATGTTCATAGAAAACCAGACCAGGAACATTCTGTTGAGTACTCAGTGTTATTTAATCCTAAAGAGTCAAACTATGTTAAAAACGGTCAAAGGAAACAATGTGTGGATTTATGCACACAGAATAAAAGTACATACCAAAAAATCTTTACTGACCTGTGATAGCAAACAATTACTTTGAACAAAGTCTTAACTGATTGAATGTATAAGGAAAGCAGTAGCAGAATAGTTATCCTGAAGCTCACTCTTGTGTTTCTAAAACATTCTCTTACATTTAGATTAACTTTTTAGGCCACACTTAGCAGAGCTGTGCAGCAACTCACTGTAAGAATGAAGTGCATTTTATAGTTCGAAGAAAATATAACACATTAAATATTTACATATCAATGTACAGATTTTTTATTTATCTTTAGGAAGAAGAATTATGGAAACAGAGAGAAAAACTAGAAATCAACAATGTTGCATCGATCAAACAATATTTTTAAATACAAATATGTTTACTGGTGAAGGAAAAAGGCCATTCTACCCTACTTTTTTTCTACGCTTACCACCTAGTTTTACCAGCCTTAGGTGATTAGACTTCAGGGAGAATAGTCTTATTTCAACCTTTGAAAATTTGTCCCACTTCTCGCTTTCACCCGTGTTCACCTTTTTTTTTCAGCCCTATTATACTCATAGAATTCAGAGTCAATTCTGTCTGGATGAGCAAATAAAGTCCCATTGCTGCAAGGCAGTGCTAAATCATGATACTTCCACCTTCATGCTTTGCAGCTAGTATAAGGTTATTTTTCTGAAATGATTTGCAAAGCATGTCACCAGTTCTGGTCTCCTAATGGCTCAGTTTTAGACTCATTTGTCAATATAACAGTATTCCTGAAGTGCTGGTCTTCGTTCTCTTTCTGCCACACGTCAAGGTGGCTTTATGTTGATCTTAGAGAGAACAGAGTTCCTCTTTTGCACATAAAAGTTAAACTTGCACAGCCTTGTTCTAATTGTAAAACCATGCACTTTCACATAAACTTAAGTATTTAGTGATTTCTTTTAGCATCCTCCTGCTTTCAGAAAGAACTTGGCTTAGAAGGTCATACCTGAGCTTGTCAACATTTGTTTGTAATAAACTTCACTTTTAGACTATTTTCTATTTGTTCAATGGCTTATTTACAAATTTGTTTGACACCATTTTAAAACTCTAATAAGGACAATGCGTTTTTAGTCTTCTCTATAAAAGGCTTCAGACACTCTGAGCTAAAAGTTGATAAAAGAGTTCTTCTCATTTGGTCCTGCTGTGTTAGCATCTTAAAAAGTGAATAATTGTGGTTAGGGTTAGGGTGTGCCTATTTATGCCTCAATAGAAATTATTTTAGTAATTTCTTCAGTTTTGTAGGTTTATCCATATTAGAGTAATTGTTTTTTTAAAGATCTTTGAAAATGATATGAAATATCAATAAGACAAAATATACTATATGGATATTTTTCTTCCTAAATTAATTAATAGTTAATATAAACTTTTTTTTTCTTTTGAAATACTTACGGAATTTTTTGATGTCATTTTAAAAGCTTTTCTTTCCCTAATAATTTGTAAAATATTTTGCAATCTATAATTTTATTTCATCAGTTGTTCTATTGAAATAAAAATTACACATTAAATGACTAATTTGAGTTGTCTTTATTTTTGAAGATGCTAATAACTTCCAAGGTTTAATCTTTGATTTTTCTTTGTTTTTCACTGTTTCAGCTTTTTATTCTCTAGAATGATCTCAGAGGATATTGATGTTGTATAGGGCAGCCATTTTAAACCTTGGGGTTCAGACCCCAGTTGGAGTCTCGAGATGATTTCGGAGGGTCGCCAAATATTTTTTGGAAAAATATAATGTTCACAATAATGTATATTCTGACAGGACAATAGAGGGATGATGAGTGGTTGGTCTCACACGGACATTTTATTACTCAAAACCAGTTACTGTTGGCTGCAACTAAATGTTTGTTTTAGTGAACAACAACAGCGACCCTGCCCACTAAGGTCACAATATTAAGAGAAGGCTGGAGCGGAGGGCTGTGTGAGTGGATGGGGGAAGTGTTAAAAAGCTTCTGGAGCTTGAAGACTTAATGGAAAATTACGACTTATCCATTCAAACTATGAAACTAAATATTGAATCTCACATCAGAAGCCTGCTTGAACGTTTCCATACATACAAGAACAACTGGATACGCCTTTCACCAACTTCGCTTTGTACCACCTGTCATAAGAGCTGCAGGACGCCCTGTTTGATCTCTCCTCTGATCCCATATTACACACTTTTTTCACACACTCTTTTCTCTAAATGCTTGCTGGAAGAATTATGGTTGTCAGTAGCAACAAAGCAGGCAGCACTATTAAAAGCTGCATCTTATCTATTGTTTCCATTTGCATCCACATATCCGTCCCAAAAGTCCTTTTCTGTGCTGACATACATGAAAAACAAATACAGATCGTGACTCCTAAATGTTGAGAGGGATTTCTGCGTGGCTGTATCTATCATAAAAACAAGAATAAAGCTGCTGTGTTAAAACAAGCAGATCTAGCTGTAATGTTAAATAGTTGCTGGAAAACATAAAAAAAAGTATTTTTTATGATTAAGCTCTCAGAAACATGGACTGTTTTCTAGTGTGTTTTGTTAAAGTTTAGCTGTTTTATTTCAATGAAAATAAAATACTGTTTGTATTTTAACAGCAAAATGATGGGATGTAGGGACCATTGTTGGTCTATTCGTGTGGTCATGGACAGCAGTAGATGTTACATTGGGGTTTGTGACTCAAAAAGGTTTAGAACCACTGGTACAGAGGACCATTTGCCATAAGGTCAGGTGTAGACAATTACTAACACATGCTTTTCTAGGGTAATCAGTTGCAAAACAATACACATATGTTTACAGATTACTATTACCAGAAGACACCTTGTAATGTGCTCAGACAAAACCCAAAAAACAAAAACAACAAAACATGGCAAGACTTGTTAGAACATAAAATACAAGAAACCAAACAGAAAACCAAAAACTTGCATCTCAACATTATGACAGAAACAGTTTAAGAGAAATGCATATTCTGTTTTTGCAAGGCACCACATCTAATGATCCTCTGTCGTCTCACTTAACACTTTCTGTCTTACAGCATGAGTTTGCTTAGTTAAAGGTATGTTTATTCGTGTGGTTTTCCTGTGGGTCTGATCTCATGATAAACAATACGTAGACCTTCAAGTGCCAGTTGGCGCTGTGTTGTAACTGTCCGGAAAACGTTTCACAATCATAACGCTCTATTTTCTTCTTTTCAGGGACTTGTTGCAGTTGTGCTTTCACCCTGCAATGACCTTTTACTTTTTTTTCCTTCTCCGTTAAAATGATACATAAGGCTCAAATGGTTAAACCTCCAAGCTCCTATTCTTTTGTTATTGTTTTTTTTTTGCAGCAAGTTTATTCTGCCTGTAGAGTGGTGGCATTTCCATGTAATAACTTTTTTAGGACAGAGAAGAAGATAGATTTGGGAAGGTGCTTTTCTATCTATCTATCTATCTATCTATCTATCTATCTATCTATCTATCTATCTATCTATCTATCTATCTATCTATCTATCTATCTATC